AAACTCTAAGACTGACATAAAATATAAATCATATAACGCACGAATGGCGTAATGTGTAAATTTGTTTTCACTGAAGAAAAAAAATCACTTCGAACCGGAAATCATCTATTTTATCCGAACGATAAAATACATAAAATTAGGTTGTTTTTTTTTAAAAAAAAAGAATTGATTAATTTTAAATGAATCTGACATCAAATCATCGCGCTGAAAATCCTGTAGCTGTAAAACCCTGGTTTATCCGATGACTTTCTCTTGTAAGGTATCTATATATACGTGCATATTTCTATTTATAGATTCTGTATATCGCTAGTTTTAATTTTAATTTTAATTAGATATGATGCCTGTTACAAATTAATGTCCTAGAAATTGGCCTTTACGACATACGAATTTGATGTCTGGGTGACTATGTCAAAGAAACAAAGCGCACAAAGGATACTATAGTATTCACATTTCAAAATATTGACACGAGTCAGTCATAATATAGAAAGCATTTAAAAAGATGAAGTCATGTAACGCTGAGGAAGAATAATATTTTAGGCGTGCTATAGCATCATTATCCATTCACAATCCAGTGATGGCGAGAGTTTTATAAACAACATCTCTAATAGAAAATTCCAATGAACATTGCGCCTCCACCATTAAGAAAATCCTTAAAAGAGAAATGAAGAAACACAGCAGTGTTTGTGTAAGGTATTTAGAGAATGTTCTAACAAGTCAGGTCTTGTCTTTAATTGAATAGAACTGGTTGGGTTGGAGGGCACTGTTACAGATGTGTTGAATTTATCAATAAAGGCTGTTTAAAATTGCGGAACATATCAATGTTTAACAACCCAGATTAAACAATTCAAGAAATTGAAAAGACTGGCAAACATATGTATTAAAGGTATTTAACATGTTTTTCAAGGTACCACTTGATTGTTTACATACAATGTAAAGCGTGCCGATCAGAATATATATCTACTGGAATCAAGCGCACCTGTTTGTGCCGGACAAGATTATTGGTTGAGGTTACAATTACAACGTACCAGTCTACAAGCGGTTCTCTTTAATCGTTATTTTTACATCTAAATCAATAGTTTCTGTTTATTGAAGATGACTTTCAATCAACCAGAATTATCCACCTCCGGTGAACAGACATTGGTATGTAGATTGCTACATAGCCACATTCTTTTTACTTTCAAACAAAAAATCACAGACCCTTGAAATACAATCAGATCATCTTTATCTCCAAAATCGGTTCTTTTTTAAATGTAAATGCCTTCGTAATTATGTAATTATGAACATCACCGTATAAAAAGACTTCACGAATAATGGGCAGGCGTGAACGAATAAACCAGAGTTATTATTACTATGTTTCTCTAAGACAAAAAAGATGGCAGTGCGAAGTCTATTAAATGGCCACAAATCTTTTAATTTAAATATATCCTTGACAGAGTAGAGTATTAAACTATATATTTAACTTTTATCAGATAAATTTTATAAATGTCGTATATTAATTCTCCCACACATTTACTTAAATAATGAATATCATCTCTGCTCTCACATCGTCAGCAAACTAAATGTACTGCAGTCTTTCCGTACTCTAGTAGTCCGTCTTGGATTAATATGAACATTTAGAATAATACAAGTATACTGTAAGTTTTAGAATGAGACATATTAAAAAAATGCTAGTAAAATTGAAATTCGTATTAATCAAAGGGGAGACAATGCACGGAACTATGTGTGTTTAACATCAACTTTCCCCAACAATAAATATTTAGCCTACAGTGGCATATATTGATTTAAAGACCAAGAATATTATCTTTGGTGAAACAAGGCAATGACAAATGGCTCCAAGGCGCATTGATTTTTTTTGATTTTTTTAAAAATGAGAATGATAAACTGATCTTTCAACAAGAAAACTTACACCTTCTGAAGCCATAGTATTTTCTTCAATAACAATTATATTTCTTTAAAATCTTTCAGATCTTAAAGTCTGTTTTGTTATTTTAACCCACTGGCTTCCCATTAGATACAATAAAAAGGGGAGGGTGACTTGAAAAGTTAGAATGGGTTAATTTATGTGACGACTTTCTATGTTGGTGATGGATACGGCATGGAATAACAAACTGTTAACCACGTGGTTTATATAACTTGAGTTGAAATGTTTCTCAGATGTTTTTATAATCATGCAAGGTTATGGCACCCTGACGTCCTCGCCTCGTGGGTAACATGGTTGCTTAAAAAGTTATCTGAAGGCACAATTTGTATACACATATACAAGACAATTTGTAAACTTTGTGAACCCCTATTACAGGAAGAGGTCCTCTGAGCACATTTACGTGCACGTAAAAGAACCTCTGACAGTTGGAATTTAATATAAGAGTAGGTCGTAGTGCTGCTGTATGGCGTATGTCTTCGTCATTAGCCAAGTCGGAGCAGAACAGTGGTACATTTCAAGCCAATTTCATTTTGTAACTGGAGAGATTGTTTCGACGTGGACTTCAGAAGTCGACGGATACTGGATAGCTGATAACCCCGAGCATCCATAATATACAGACTTTTAAGATACTGTAGAATAACTCTCATTCATTTCAACATATCAAAGTTCTATAAAGCATTCACCAAAAGCTCTGTATTTTACAGAGAATGTTTTAAAGATAGAACTTGGGTATATTTTGGAAATATATTTCAATGTATTCACATTCAAATACGATATAATTTGAATGTCAGTAATTATCTTTCTATGTTAAAAATCATCATTTTGTTTCATGACAGAACCCCTAATTTCTGGAGCGTTTAGTTTGGCGATTTTATGAAGAAAAAAGAACGAAGAGAGATCTATTTGTTTACAAGTAATATTTTGGAGGAAGTCGGGGACTTCAGTTGTTGGTTGGATGAGGTACACCCAAAACATTTGCGAAATTTGAACAAATAATCTGTGAGTTTTTGACAGTTACTCCAATTTTTTTTATCGTTCTTTTAACTTGTGGGATAATTTCATTTATTTCGGATCAGGGCGCGTGGGGAATAGATCGAGCGGGATGGGGAGGAGATCAGGGCAGTTTGAGGAGGCGATCATATAGGGTGGAAAGGACGTTAGTGTGACGAGGAGGAGATCGGGCAGATTAGGGAGGAGATAAGGCAGGTTGTGAAGGTGGTCGGGCAGAGTAGCGAGGTGGTCAAGACGGGTGGCGAGGAGATAGGGCAGGTTGGGGAGATAGTCAGACAGGGTGGTGAGGTGTCAGGGCGGGCGGGGAGGAGTCCAGATAGGTTGGGGAGGATGGCTAGGTAGCCAGGACGGGTGGAGAGGAGATAAGGCAGGTCGGGGAGGAGGAAATCGGACAGATTAGGGAGGAGATAAGGCAGGTTGGGAAGGTGGTCGGGCAGAGTAGCGAGGTGGTCAAGACGGGTCGCGAGGAGATAGGGCTGGTTGGGGAGAGAGTCAGACAGGGTGGCGAGGTGTCAGTGCGGGCGGGGAGGAGACCAGACAGGTTGGGAAGGAGGTCGGGCAGGATGGCAAGGTAGCCAGGACGGGTGGAGAAGAGATAAAGCAGGTCGGGGAGGTGATCGGGCAGGCTGGAGAGGAGATCAGAAGGAGGTGGTCAATTCTTTACGGAAAATTAATTTATCGGGCATTCAGGGTTAGGTTACGGTCAGTTCCGTGCAAACCTTGGGGCTTCCAACTCGATATGTGTTTATTTCCGGGGGGTCCAAAATCATGTTCTCCTATATTTTCTTTCCCCTTCTGTCTGAGCACTGAGCAAAAAACTAGAGTTGTATACTTAGACTGTTTACATGTTCCTCATTTAAATTCCAGTAGAAATGTAATACCAATTGTGATAGTTTACGTCTCCGCTATATTTAAATTGGGTAGTAAAAGTCAACATTAGAAGGAAATGGATTCCAATAGTTAAAACCATTGTAGACATAACAATGTGTCATTATTATAAACAATGTTATTATAAACATACATAATCTATTATTAAATTCATTTTCTATTCAAATTATTTCTAGAATTTTAAGTGTTGTTTTAAAGAAAAAGGTTAGTGCCAAATGATAAGGCCAGCTCTATTTCTCGTCACGAGATGTAAACTGGGCTAGCGCTAATCCGAACCCTAACCCTAAATTAAATCAGGTCCTAGCCCCAGTGCTTATCCTAATCCTAACCTACAATCCCGCCAACATTCATGTGCCCTAATCTTATCTCAGCAACCTTGTCAAAAATTGAGCTAGCCTTAACAAATAGATTTAGCCTAGAAGCTATATATATGTTGATGGTCATATGCCTGATAAACCCGGTCTTCCATATTTGTAAATATTTAATAAAATACTGAGCGAGAAATTCAAAATCCACGGAATATTTCGAAAACTAATTTCAAAATTGCAAGAAGAATCTTAAGTGCGTACTCAAAATCATATTAATATTATTTCGTTTTGTATTAAGATTTATACGAAAGTTTGTCTTTCACTTCCTGTACTGGCATATTGTATTATTTAATGGTTTCAGTACCTGGTTAAATGTATGTTGTTCTATATTAGATAAATATGTTTTATCATAACTAAGTTTAACCGACTTCAGGAATGAGTGGTGGCTAATGGAAAAGGAAATAAAATGGGGTTTAACTTCTTACTGTTCTGCTCCGACTGGGCTACAGTGGCTTTGAGGGAAAGTTTGCCCGAACAGCGGCAATTCCGACTGCCAAGGGACCTGGGGGGGGGGGGTGTCTGGCATGGAAACCCGTCTATAAGCTAGATTTGGTATTGAACTGGGTGACGCTAATAATGACATGATGCGTGACTAAACTATGGTTCGCGATGATAAAACCATAACGTTACGTTGGCTTCTACTGAACTCAGACTGGATCAGGGCAACTAGTTGACCGTACCGACATTCAGGTTTCAATTTACGAAAGATATTGTCGGTAAATGCAAAACAAAACAAGGGAAACAACTCTTGATCATAGTATTTTAATTCGGATTTAGTTATATAAAAATAAAATATTAGCAACAAACAACCTTTAAAAATAGACTATATATGTACAATATTATGATAAATACAAAACCTTCAATTGGTTTATCACGGCATTTAAATTACCACAGCATTTAATATATAAATAAATAACAACTTCTACTAAAATGATTACGGGCATTATAATAAAGGTTTGTTAATCACAGAATAAATGGAATTAATCTCCTTAAAATAATCAGATGTATTCAGATATATAATTTCGCTTCGTTTTATTTTATTTCGTATTCCCTATTTTATATAGTAAGATAAAGTTAGGATTATAACAAATGGAATTAATCTACTTAAAATAAACAGATATATAATTTCGCTTCGTTTTATTTTATTACGTATTCACTATTTTATATATTAAGATAAAATCAGGATTATAACAAAATAAATACGAACAAAAGAACTATTTTTAAGCAGATGTTTAATATTTAACCCCAGGTAGTAAATACATATAGGCTACTTCACTTCGCTTTTTAGGAAAAGGGATATAATTTTCTTAAAGATACATTATGTAAGATTTAGATAAACAGCTGGCCATTCTTGCAATAATAGTTCAAACATAGATAATGAAAAATGAATATATTTAAATAACATTCAAATTACTTTATTCTGAGCGACGTTATGGCTGTTTGAAGATTGTTTATTGTTGTAGCAACGGTACATGACAATCGAGATTAAGTCTCGATTATCCGTTTTATCGTTATCCATTTTTATCCATGTCTAAAAAATAGTTTATATCACATTTGAAGCCCAAATTTAGACCTGCAATAGGAAGATTTAGCTCTTACATAATGCATCTTTAATCTGCAATGTTTATTGATGTGACATGGTCTACTTAAAATCAAATGTTATTTTCGTTCCGTTTAGTATGATATTCATTCTATTAGCATCTAAAGATACCTTCGACAATCTGTCGTTCAAAAGATTTCGCATTATATTGTAATATGGGGTGTTCAGATTTGTAGGTTGCTTTTTAGTCTACCAATCACAATCTGCGCAGTACTGAAGGAATTAAAGCACCCTATAAAGAAATGTACGTATAGACTAAGAGGAAGTAGGGTGAACAACCGAAAAATTAAACGAAACGAATTTTTAGTATAGTTCTAATTAGATTGAATGAGTTATATAATTGTAACTCAAAAATGACACAAATACAAACGCGTTCATTGTCCTATGTCATAATAATAAGGCACAACATAAACCCAGTCAGTCAGATAGACAGGTAGGAATTACTTCAAAAATAAAATCTGTTTACTGATTGTCCTACTGAGCAGCAGATTTAAGGCACATATTTTTTAAAAATAAACTTTGTGTGGATTTAAAAACGAAAATCCATAACTCGGGAATCTTACAAGTATGTTAATAAACTGTTTGAATAGCTTGAAGAACGACAATAGAATCATTGTTGAAACGTAGCCCCGATTAAAATACAGTAATTGTTTATCCATAAAACTCTTATGTTTGTCTCACCTTAATAAGGTTAGAATAAATCTTAAATTTTGAAATTTAGAAAATAAACTTGCAAAGTGTTCATTTTAGGTGAGTAAACGCGAGGAACACAGTTACACTGGTTATTTAAAGTTACAATTTCATATTTTCTAAGAAAGTCAAAACATAATTATTTCTATGTCTTCTCCTCAATAGGTTGTCAACTCATAATTATACGATCATAGGTTATCTTTCTCACACTTAAAAATCTTCGCACCGGAATTAATAACACAATTACCTCCCTTGTTTTCCTATTCCCCACCATGGAATAGATATCTTCAAACGTTTGAATTTGAAGTTGAAAATGATGTTTTTTTCCAATTTCTCAACTTGCAATAGTGAATTATAGGATTATAGGATTATTCTTTAACAAGGTAAGTCTGTTTATAGATACCATCTATTTTAGGGCTTTATTTTGATACATTTTAAAAAATATAACTTAAAATATGAAATTGTAACGTTAAAGGTTGCGAAGTATTAAGTTCGGGAAATGATATTACTGTTGTGTTAATGAGTCTAAACAGCAGCTTGAATATCTCTTGCTGTATGCCTGAAAAATACATCGATCCATACAAATGATAAAAAAGAGAGACAAATGGGGTTTAACGTCCACTCGTCACAAACAAGCTCATTTCTGGACTAACATATGGTTCAATTTTAATTCAACAATTCGCTTGCGCGTATGGGTCTTTAGCAGTGGGAGGAAACCGAAGGACCCGGAGAAAACCCACGAGGTTAGACAGACGACACTACTCCTTGTCACGTACAACCGGGGAATTGAAACCACGCCAGTTGTCTCAATGACAGACCTTATGATACAACGGGCGCACGCGTTAAAGGCCATCCAACCCCCCTTGCTGGCACAGCCCGGTATAAAGAGAAGAGAACCCGATTAGACACACACCCCAACATTCTGCAAAATGGCGTTGGCTGACAAAATGGAGGTCCCTGCGTGGATCTCGAAGGACTTCGAGATTTTTTCAGTCTGGTCGGTCGGTTGGGACGAAAAACCGAGAACCCGTTTACGCATTGGCGTGTACGTAAGAGAACGCATGACAGTTGGAGACGCCGCTGTCGAGGCAAAATTTCCCTTATTTTGCACACTGAATGGAGTACACTCAATTGTATTACCCCATTTCATTTCTTAATCTAGGAATATTTGTGCACGGGCGGGTGGAAGCCCCGGGCAGCTATTTGCCCTTAGACCCCCCCGCTGCTTACGGCGACCCTGGCTACAGCAAATAACTTGTTGTAAACCGTCTTTTGTAAAGATGTAATAAGGGAGATAAATCTGTACTTACTTATTACCGGGTATTTCACGAATATATTTACGCTTTTCACATCTGAGATAAATGAGAGCCAACAAGCTGAGTATAATTATAATAGACAGAGATATAATTGGTATAAACCATACTTGATTCAACTGAAAGAAAAACAAAATTCATTGATTAACATAGAAATTTATCTGCCATATTAAGGGACGGTAGGCCCGGTTAGTGCTAAATGATAAGCTCATAGGTCACGAGATGTAAACAGGGCTAGCTCTAATCCCAATCCTAACCCTAAACCTAACCCACAATCTCGCCAATAATCACGTGCCCTAACCTTATTTACATCTCAGTGACCCTGACAAAAATTGAGCTGGCCTTAACAAATAGATTTAGCCCGGTAAGATGTGTTGGTGGAGAAAGTTCATCGGGATTTTTCCGACGTGATTCTCCGTGGTGCAGGACGGAGGTGACAAGGGACAACGTATAGTCGTCCGGATGGGACGGAAAATCGAGGTTCCGTGTACGTAAAAGAAAACAAGACGGTTGGAATTCGAAATAAGAGTAGGCCGTAATGCCGCTGTCCGGCAAACTTTCCGCCATACCACACTGTATGACGTATGCCCGTCTTCATTAGCCCAGTCGGTGTAGAACAGTAGGACGATAAACCCCATTTATTTTCCTGGGGATTTCCCTGTCTGGTTTCCCTGTGTCATTGGTGCAGGAGGAAAGATATGACAAGGGCATTATCTAGTTGGTTGGATAGCACGAAAACACGTGTACACCTTGCTTGCACGTAAAGAACCCTTGGGCGGAATTCGACGAAGAGTAGGCGGAAACGCCGCTATCCGGGCAAAATTCCACCCATAGCACACTGTTTGGCCAATGCCCGTCGTCATTAGCCCGGTTGGTGCAGAAATGCAGGACGTTAAACCCCATTTCATTCCATTTATTATTGTTTTCTTACCACGTTCCAATCTTCTGGTGTATCTTTAGTGAATATTATTTTAAAGGTAGCTGTGTCTTTTAAAAAATTGTGGTAGCTAACTTCTACAGTTAATACTATATCTTCATCAACTCGAACCTTTGCCCCCTCATTAAATCGGATTTCGCCCGTTTCGTTATGTATGGTGAATTGATTTGTATATTTTGCCGGTAAAAATTTAAAAGAGATTCCCTCCATCTGGTCTCTGGTCACTAGATATTTTCTCAATTCAGGTATTATTACTGGGTCCGCCTGTAAAATAATAATAATAATAATAAAATATGTTAAGCTGGTAAATCTTGAATAGTGCAGGAATTCAGACGGGGTGTGGTCATAAACCATAACGGCCAAATTCACTTTGGTCAGAACGGCCATAATTTTGTCAAAACGACCAAAAAATATTAATATTGCAAAAACATCAGTTATTGTTTGATAAAATTTCATTTGACAAAATTAATAATAATGAATTTTATTTGGCTGTTTTGACCAAATTGTTTGGCCGTTATGACTAAAATGTTTCGTCGACGTTTTGACCCAACAAAAATTGGTCGTTTTGGTTTATAGCAGTATGTCCATAAACAGTTCCGACATTCCTGGTAACCAAATTTACCTCCGAGATATTTATCCCTTTGAAGACCGTACAATGATTAGATCAAACTAATCATTGTGTAATTCTATTATACAGGAACAGTATGACCCAATTCTACCCAGACATCTTCGAAGGTCTTCCAAAGAAAAACAAATAATTGCTTTTTGATGTAGCTAATTTCGCCAGTTCTATCAAACTGTTTTCTATTCAGTGTTGTCAAAGTTGTCATATATTGGATTAGTCGAGATGTTTTGGTGTAGCTAATTTCACCAGTTCTTATAAACTGTTTTCTTTTCGGTGTCAAATTTGTTATCTATAACTACTGTAAATTGGATTAATCGAACTGTTCTGATAATTTATAAACAGAAAACCGTTTCTGCTTCTATCATATTCGGTTATGGATTAGTCATCAACAGAATGATGAGCTAATTTGGCGCCATTTTGGTTTAGATTTACCCCGGGGTTGCAATTATCCTTTATAGTATTGTTTAGCGGCGATTCTCTAACATATTGCCACCATATTTATTACGTCATTGATAAATGGGGCTATAATTGGGCGCTATTTGGTTTTAAATATACCCCTCACCCCACACCTAGGATTGCATTGATTCTTTATATTGTTCAATGACGATTCTCCAACAGTTTGCGGCCATTTTAATGACGTCACTGGTAGAAGGATATTTTTTCTTTATGCTAGTTGACTTCTAACGACCCAGTCCAGAATTGTTTGGACTGCGATAAGCGCTATTATTACATTGTATCTACTACAAAAGGAATTGGACCAGATCTCCATTCGCGATTGAATTTATAATCGAAATAATCTGAATCCATTTTGTTTGTATATGCCACATGACGTCTTTGATTCTCAATACTCTCAATTATTATATTTGCATGATGTCTCAAGTTGAGCTTTCTTTTGTTCGATACAACATATGCAAAGGTTTGTCAATTAATCATTCTTTATTGAGAAATGACTGAGGAATATAAACGATTCTTGTGTTTGCTACTTTTGTAAAATAAAAATCGTCTTTTATGTGGCCACAGACCAGTAATCGTCTCCTCGTGACTTCAATGTAAATGCATGCAATTTCGAGGTCTATAATTGTTTTTCTGGAAGTTTCCGAAGACCTTAATCAGAAGTCCCAAATGATCTCAACATATAATAATTATGGTATAACAACTTTAAGAGGAGGGGGGGGGGAAGAAGAGAGGGGGGGTTTCTGGCAGTCTTGGTGGTTTTCAAAGAGCGGTCAAACATCCCGCGTTCAATAACCGTTTATCTTCGCGAACCAAAGTTCGGTAAATTATTATGTCATAATATATAAAGTTCTCTCAATCCCGGATTGCGCAGACAATTGACATGCCATTAAGTGTGGTTAATGACGACGGGCATACGTCATGCAATGTGCCATGAGGGAAATGGTGCCCGGGCTGTGACGTTTCTACTCTTCGTGGTATTCCAACTGTCCAGGGCTCTTTTACGTGCAGGCCAATGTGTACATGGAACCTCGGTTGTCTCATAGGAACTGGACACTGCTCCATGTATGACCCTCCGTCCTGCACCACTAACAAGGGGAGACAACACTGGAAAATCCTGAGGTTGCGCAGACAAACGTTGTAAAGCGAACACTGTCTTGTACACGTGACACGAAACAATAGTTGTAAAGAACGTCTTTGTTTATCCCCACCTCTACCAATCTGTTTCATAGAGGATTACGAAAGTCTTCTAATATCTCTGTAAAAGATGACTAACTTTAACACGTGACGTCTCATTAATCATACGTAAGACGTTCTAGTAGTTCGGCAGAATGGAGACTTTTACTCATTTTAATACCCATTTGCACTAAATAGGAAATGATTTTTACCTACAAATACGTCAAACGCCTTTATTTATTTTTCTAATACATAAAAAAAAATGTTTTAGAATTTAATTTGTTGCAGGAAAAAAGTTATTATTTCTGGCTCATTAAGTCGCATCGATGTCATCCTTGTACCTCTACTCGCATCAAAATTATAACTATGAACCAGACATTATCAGGGTATGAAAATTCACACTAATCTTGTATATAGACCACAATATCGTCATGCAAAAGACTGACCAAGTGGGTGAATGTTTATAAATAAACATAACTATCATGAAATAAGGAGAAACAATGACAGGTATTGTCCATTGAGTAAAGACTTTAGGGCGATCGCTTACCGTTGTTTGGTCTACCAGAAGTTGGAACTGTTTTTCTAAGAATTGTGGTGTTTCTGATACATGGTGAATGTAAATAGGAAAAGATTGAGGTTTGGTTGTTGTGTGTCCATCAGTAGCTGTTATAAATATATCAACTCTACTTATATTAAACTGTACATCTTTAACTACAGATATCCTTCCACCTGAAATAGTTAGATCAACTTTACTTATATTAAACCGTTAAACAACAATCCTTCCATCTGAAATACATATATCAACTTTACATATATTAAACTGTACATCTTCAACTACAGATATCTTTCCGCCTGAAATAGTTATATCAACATTACTTATATTAAACCTTCCGATATCCTCCCACCTGAAATAAATATATCAACTTTACTTATATTAAACCATTAAACATCAGATATCCTACCACCTGAAATACGTGTATATCAACTTATATGAAACAGTTAAACATCAGATATATTAAACCATTAAACAACACCTGAAATTACTTACAAATGACACAGAACGTAAAGCTTTAGATCGATACTGAACAGGGGCGGTGAGACTGTTGGTATTAGCTTGAATGGCAGGTTTCTGATAGCAGTGATTGATGTCATGTCCTTGACTTTCGAAAACACCACTACTTTCCAAATATGCGATGTCTCCCTTTCTGGAGAGTCCACCAATGAAAGCATGGTCGTTATTTAATGGAAATTGTCAATAACACTTTGGACTACAGAAAAGTTTCAACGCTGCCATTTTGATAGCTTTGGTTGTTAGTGTGTTGTACTAACCAGTTTCATAGTCCTTTTCGAGAACCTCTCTATCGTTTATTTTTTCAGATGCGGTGGAGAGTCCACTAACTACGGACAATAGGACAGTAACAATTGCGGTCAAAATTGCTATCTGCCGGTTGCAATGGCATTACATTCTAGTACCTATCTTTTATTCCATCCAGGGGGATAGATGGCCGAATGGTTAGCACGTGTGCGCTGGGTTTGTCATTGAGTCAACTGGTGTGGTTCCGATTCCCTGGTTGTACATGACAAGGAGTAGGGTCGCCTGTCCAACCTCGTGGGTTTTCTCCGGGTCCTCCGGTTTCCTCCCACTGCTAAAGACCCCTACGCACAAGCAAATTATTGAAATAAAATTGAACCATGTGTTAGTCCCCAAATGACCTAGTTTGTGTCGAGTGGACGTTAAACCCCATCTCTCTCTCTCTCTCTCTCTTTAATGGTTTGGGAAGTTTGGTATTGGGATTTAACTCGGCCTTTGTTCAACCCAGTTTACTTTTTTCACTACACAATTCTCAGGAGACAAGGTCGTGTGGCGTTTGTAGAATTCGATTTTTTCCACGATACATCTATCACGTGTGTAGCATATATATTAGCAGCCTTAATTGTTTTCTGACCTTTCTCAAAATTCAATAAACGTTATACTCACTGCTTTCATCAAAGTTAAAGTACTGACTGGCGTACAATGGTTTCCATGCATGGTGATATGTGACTACAGTATTATGATGATGATCTATAACTTGTAGTTCTGGTATTATTATATCTGTAGTATTTAATATGTTGATAATGGACGGTATATTATAAAATTTTAATCTGGTCATATTCTCTATAAAATAAAAATATATAGGTCATGAATTATTAACAGCATTGCATTAGAGGTCGATCTGCAAATTTTTTGACAAATGATGGATTAATATCGTAACATTCTAGATAAAATAAAAATTAACACTTATTTAAATAACATAACGTTGTTTTTGCAGCTTTAAATTAGATTTCTCGGATATAATTCATTAGCTACAGTGTACATGGGGCAATGCCAATTCTTAGAATCCTGAATTCCATCAGATTTTGGAAGTGCCGCAGTAGCCACTTTAATCTAAATTGCTTAAAATATTAGGTCTGCTGTAGTGACGGAATCTTGGGGACGTATTGTCGTTGGCACCAAACTTCCATCATAGAACACTGTATAGGGTATGCCCCTTTTTCATTAGTCTAGTCGGAGCAGAACAGTGGGGCGTTAAACCCCATTTCATTTTATTTATTTTCCGTTCAAATGGGACCCCGGATTTCCGTCCCATCCGAAGGACTACTAAATCGAGAATGTGTTAACTGGCAACCTACAGTCCAAGAATGAAATATGTCTGTTTCATCAAGATGTCTATATAGAGTGTAGCTGAGATTTATAAAAGAAAATGGCTGTTTTATATGTTTACACTAATTCTTATCTTTCTCACCACACACTTCAAGGATGACGTCACTTTAAGCAAACAGTGTTACATTTTTAATCTATTTTCATTCCTATCGATGTTTTGAGACGATATTTATCAATCCTAAATTATATGACCCATTCTATATCGTACGGAGAGGATCGATTCTTCGTTCTATTCACGATTTCTCGACACAGCCAAATTTGATCTTCAACACTCCTTGTGAGAGCCGTGTGCTAGCCCGAGTAACTCATATCAATTACCTAATGAATTTGAACAAGTTTTTATGACAATAATCCCAAAATTCTTCATTTCACTAAACATGTAATTCAAGAAACAGATCGATTCATTAGTTGGAATTTCCGTCTGAAGTGTTCGGTTGAAGTTGATTACGTTTGATATTGACCATAAGATTGCGCTGAAGCTAAATATATAACGTTTACTTACTCGCTACACAGACGCCTTTATAGCACCACTACAACAAAAATAACACGTTATTTAGTCATCGGTCAATAACAGTTAACATTCGTTTGAAAAGGGGAATTTATAGGTCTAAAGAGGCAATTCAAAACCTCATAAACGCTTTATTCGTTGAAAGTATTGGGATGAACATAGGATTAACCAAAAAAATCCTCCGTCGAGCTTTACAAATGCATTGGCCATTAGTGCCGTGGCGAACTATCCCAACTAAATGAGTTTTGATGGCCATCAGATTATTCATAATGATAGTCATGGCCGTTTATTGTCCAAATCACCTAAAACACATAAGCTCATTATTCGTTAAAGGTATTGAGATGAAAATAGGATTAAAAAAATATATCGTTCGCCGAGCTTTACAAATGGATCAGCTATTAGTGCAGCTGTGTAGCAGTGATGAGCTGTCACAACTGCGATGTTTCTAAATGCGTTTTTTAAAGGCCATATTGTTTTCATATTTTCCGTATTGATGGCCTTGACCGTTTCTTGTCCAAAACACAGGAGGCGATAACAATACCCATGTTTCGTACATTAGATCAACATTTATTCGGGTCAGTTGACACCGGGAATATAAACGAAATTTTCAGCAAAAAAATAAAATCTTAGCATGACTATAGTAAGGCATTTAGTGATAGGAAAATATCGAAATAACACAACTTTATGGAGAGAGAGAGAGCGAGAGAGAGAGAGAGGGGGGGGGGGTAACGTCCTCTCGACACAAAGTGGTTCACTTCGGGACTAACACATGGTTCAATTTTATTTCAATAATTCGCTTGCGCGTAGGGGTGTTTAACAGTGGGAGGAAACCGGAGGACCCAGAGAAAACCCACGAGGTTGGACAGGTGACCCTACTCCTTGTCACGTGCAAGCGGGGAAAGGAAACTACGCCATTTGACTCAAAGACAATCACAAGCAACTTTAATAGTACAACGTTTCAACACGTATTCTCTTGCCGTTATCAAGAACAAGGTAAACAATAATATGATACAAAAAGCTGGGAGTGAGCATTTACGAATAAAAAAAATAAGACAAGAATTCATATTCTGTTAGACATATAAAAGGTCAAAGACTGTAAAGACGGAGTTATGATTACAGAGCTTAAGATACTTAGCTAATTAGGAAGCCATTACACAGAGCAATTAGTTACGTTCTAGGTAGTTAAAGCGGGAAATATTGTGTTAAACTTACAAGTGATTACATAGCTACATATGACTATATTAAATTCGTTACCGTATTAAATTCGTTACCGTATGAAATTCGTACAAAAGTACGATATAATATCAGCATATAAACAATAATCTAAATATATATAATTGGGCCTGCAGTTTATCTTTTTGTTTATCTGGTTGGGGTTTGCAGCTACCCGAGGCTTGCCCCGATGCTAAAATTTAGAATATACGGGCATACCCACTACCCCTTTACGGTCTCAGGGTTGCATACTACTTTCGGTTTCCCGTAACTCCTATATGGAAGCATAGAAGGACTCTAACTACCCGTGTAACACCGGGTATATACTAACATAAACTATTATAACACTTACTTTATTATCATCACAAGTTGTATAATCTCTCGGGAATATATGTTCACAATCGTTACCACTGGTACAATATAACATATAACAAAATGTCTCATCATAGCTATCACCATCATACTTAGACTAAAATACATCAATAGTATATGTTAATAAGACATTACTAATTACTTGTATCCTAATCACTGTCCTGAGGTATTCTTAATGACCAGAGAGAGAGAGGGGGGGGGTTTAACGTCCACTCGACACAAACTTCGGGACCAACATATGGTTCTATTTTATTTTAATAATTCGCTTGCGCGTAGGGGTCTTTAGCAGTGGGAGGAAACCGAAGGACCAGGAGAAAACTCACGAGGTTGGACAGGCGAACCATGTCACGTACAACCCGTATAAGATAAAAGGACATTACCTATTACTTGTATCCTAATGACTGTCCTGGGGTATTCTCCGGGGCGAAGTGGATGCTGATTTTGCATGTGGAATAGATTTCATGGCGGCACAAAAACACAAACCCAATATCTATAGGAAGTTTTTTTTGGGCTGTTTGGTACATGCTAGGGTCAATTTGTAGCATATCTCATCCACGCTATATGCTTGCGTGCCAATAGCGCTTAACACCACATTCAATCCACGCGTTCTTTTTTACATTTGAAAAATATAAATCCATGATGCTCAACACGTCACCCCCACCCCATCCCCCCTTATAATGATTCCATTGACAGTCAGTAAGTTTCTGTGAGGTAGCCCACTGTTCATGACATGCTTATAATTAACACTAGTGAAGAAGAACGGTCTGTGACGATTGCCGATCCTTAAATCATGTAACACTGCTTTAATTTGTCTTCTGGAAGGGTTTATTCATTATTAGAATATCTGTATTTATTTTATTTTTGATATATCTGAAAAGGACTTGGAAGTGCAGTAGTGATCACAATGATTTATTTATTCTAAAACGACTACAGTTGAACCGATGTTCTTCTTAGTGTTTAACGTCCGCTTCCACCAAAGGTGATATCGCAGACAAGTCTTATCTTTGTATTTTTATTATCTTAGCGCACGCGCAGAGGTCTTTCCAGTGGGAGGAAACCGGAGTACCCGGAGTAAACCCACCGGGTGAGAGGCGCCCTTATCTCCAAGCCACATACACTTACACCAGGGATCGAAAAACCAACCGCAAGCCAGAGGAGACCGGTCAGCTAGAGGTCGAAGCGCGGCACTCTAGACCACTAGGCAGTCCCAACCCCCCTAGTTGAACCGATGCTTCTGATTGCATTATATACTAACCGGACATAGTGTTGAGTTTTCTCCAAATACCATCTTACACTGATCTTCTATAGTATAATATTGGCCTTCAATATGACCGGAAGTTGTTACTACATCTTCTTTAAACTGGGTGTTAAACAGGCAGCTTATGTTATCACTGTAGGTAGAAATACGTTGAAAAATGCATTTTACAGGCACAAAATAAACCCAGATTTTACTTTTCTTCCTTATGCCCCTGTCAGACCGGGGCGGGGTCCTTACTCCGCTGCCGCGACCGTACGGCGACCAGAAAATATACCAGATCGCCGGCAAACGTGAACAAAACGCGAGAAAATGTCCCCAAAAATTACAAACTCGAATAAAAGATGCGTTCTCACAGCTTTCCAGATCAGATCGCAGAACCTTGGCATTTGCTTTGAACATGCTCAAAACAAACGTCGTGACTCGGCGATCTTTGACGTCCATGGAGACCACAGCACGATATCTGGCGTTCCCACCACGCTTTTACCACTCTTATGGCAATCTTAGCGCACTCTGACTCCATTTCCGTCGCTGTAGGACGCCAACCCGGTCTGACGGGGGTATTAGAACTGGCATATCGTTAGTTTTATTGCAAAATAGTGATAACCCAACAGAACAGCAACCACGAAGTTAATATGAGTGTTTAGGTAACATGTCATTGAGTCAAGAGGCATGGTTTTCTCCAGGTTTCTCAAGATCTGCCCACTGCTAAAGACCACTACGCACAAGAGAATTATTGAACAACTGTGCCGTATTTTAGTCCCTAAATAACATAGTGTTTTGTCAAGTTGACGCTAAACCATAAGCTATAAAATTGATGGTACACGAAGTTAGTATCTTTGTTGTCTAGCCTTAAGTGTCACTTAAATGGCAGTGATGGTGTCCACAAATATTACATATGTGATGGAACTGATTGAAACAATCCTTACTGGCTGAAATAGAGAGCGACAACAGATACACTAGTCGATTTTCGTTAAATACGAAACGTTGTTATATGAGACTGTAAGGGGGTTGTCACGAGATAGCAGAAAGAGAGAAAAGGTATCTACTAATATAGTTTATTCTGGTAGCCCTATACATTATAGACACTCTATTATTCATTCATTTTCCTTAAACGTTACGACTGTCTTCTGCAACACGGATTACAAATCGAAATACGGTGAACGAGGCAAGTGAGAAACCATTTATACAAAGTATAAGTCTACAGGCTACTACATGTAGATTACAAATAGCAATTCTGCGTGTGACTATATGGACGCGATATTCATTCCTTTGCCATCTTTACAAACGTTAAATAATTAAAAACTTGTAGCCTACCCAGATTGTGTTTGAGTCCAGATTAGCCCATTGTAAGCCCCTTTGTAATTGTCTTTATCGTATGCGTGGTATTTCAGAGTATGTTATGCTCTGTAATTCAGCCAGTAAGGATAACTCTTGTTTCTTTGTGTCACTTCCTGATTCTTTAAATCCGTGTTATAGAACAGAAGTGTGTTAAAATTATGTTTGAAATGTGTTTAACCTGTTCTATACAATATTGATGGACACCAACATCGTCCTTTACTATGTTATCTTTCTGCTATAAAATGTTAAATTGTTGGTGGTATAGCCTAAACTAGTATCTATATAATTGTTCTGGTTCAAACTACACTATCACTATCGGTTCTCAGCCGTCACGACTCGGCTCTTCGGCGAATGATTATATTGTAAAGATACACACAAAATATATTTGGCTTCGACCAGTGCAAATGTCGCTAAGACACAACGTGACTTATAAATTCGGTTAAAGCAAATCGATTTAGTGATTTATGTTTATTTATAAAACAACTTTATTCAGAGTATTATTTTATATGAAAATATCTCTTACTTTCTTAAAAACGTTCCGATTGATTGGACAGAACAAGGAGATAATTTCCAAGGTCTAGAAGCATATGACACGTTCCAGGGATGTATGGATCTCGCCGACATCAGATACAGGTCATTGTCATTACATCCAACATCAGAATCATGATCGGCGTCCAAGCTGAAAAGCAAAATATTTTGATGAAAGTCTGTTATTCTAGGTTCCCACTATCACGAATCGCGCTACAATTGAAATCGTGGTTTTAATCCTGGAGTAATCGTGATGATTCTATCAGGTTTTATCATATATTGTGGTCAGTCGTAGCAATCGATTTGATCGTATCGAAACGTATTCGAACGTATCTCCAATAGGGACAATACTATCGTAAAGCATCGTAAGACAGTGTGAACCTAGCATTAACAATACCTCATAATGCTAGGTCCCCACTGTCGTGCGATGTGTTACGATACCATTGTCCCTGTCGAGTCCACGATCTGGTACGTGAAGATACTTTCGGCTACGTTTCGATACGATCGACTATTGCCAAGACAGACCTTAATATATTATAAGACCTGACAGGACCACCACGATTACACCAGGATTAAAACCACGATTTCAATTGTAGCACGAATCGTAATAGTGGGAACCTAGCGTAAGCTAGTAAAGATTTAGTATGCATCGAATCCTGATACCCGATATAATACTATACAGGATACAAAAGAGTTGGATGGAACAATCAGTCTAGTAACAGGTTATCTGTCCTACTGCAGATCGGTGCGTGCTGTATCATAAGGCCTGTCATTGAGTCAACTGGCGTGGTTTCGAATCCCCGGTTGTGCGTGACAAGGAGTAGGGTCGCCCGTCCAACCTCGTGGGTTTTCTCCGGGTCCTCCGGTTTCCTCCCACTGCTAAAGACCCCTACGCGCAAGCGAATTATTGAAATAAAATTAAACCATATGTTAGTCCTGAAATGACCTAGTTTGTGTCGAGTGGACGTTAAACCCCCATTTCCCTCTCTCTCTCTCCCTACTGCAGACACAAAGGGTTGACGAATTGGGAAGTGACGCAAAAAAAAGGAAAACATGTTGACTGAAATAGAGAGCAATAACAACTATCTGGAATGTGTTTAGCAACTTCTGTCCCAAGTGTAATATTGGCGGACACCGACTTTGTCCGTTACGTTAGGAGTATGAACGGTTAATATTAGGTTTAGCGTTTTGGTTCCTCTAATATATCCAAATTGTTTCATACAAACCAACCTGTGTCCTAACTCATGTGCCGCTGTAGCACCAACGTTGCCATCAAATGCATTTTCTATAATAGACGCTGATAAATAATACCCTTCCTCATCTCTATAACACATACATCCAAAATTAGCTAAACCTGTAATATACAATATATATCGCTATAACAAATATTGTCAAAATATTAAATCCCGTCTGCAGTTGTTTTTGTGACGTGCATGGGAGCCACGATGGCTCAGTGAGTAAGACGTTGGCTAGCTAACCTAGATGTTCCGTGTTCATCAAGATTTTCCGGCGTGATTCCCCTTGTTGGTGGTGCAGGACGTGATGGAGGACCTGGCAAGGGACAACGTATAGTTGTTCGGAAAAGTCAGGTTCCGTACACGTAATTAAAAAACCTTGACAGTTGGAATTCGATATAAGGGTAGGCGGTAGCCCGCTGTCCGGGTAACACCCCCCTCATGGCACACTGTGTGACATATTACCGTCTCTCTTAGTCAAGTCGGGACAGAAAGATAGGACATTAAACCGAATTTCATTGCATTTTATGATGGATGATAACACGTGTATAGAGGTTATGTAATAGATAATATTATCCTACGAAGCTGTAAATACTTTGTCGACACACGACATTAGGTTGATCTGGAATGTTATTTCCATTAGCGATGGCTCAAAATAAGTATGATAAATCACTTTTTCAGACGTCTGATTGTTCATTAATTTTCAAGATTTTTGTTTTGCGTAGATCTCAACATTTGCTCTCTTTGCGGACCGGGAGACGCGGTGGCTCAGTGAGGAAGACGCTGACTCGATATCCATGAGGTCTCGGTTGACTTACGGTGTTGTTCGAGAGAGTTCCTCGGGAATTTCCGACACGGTGTCCCTCCATTGTCAGTGATGCAGGACTTAGGATCCTAGCAAGGACAGTGTCTAGTCGTTCGGATAGGACGAAAAACAGAGGTCACGTGTATACATTGGCATGCACGTACAACAACCCTTGACAGTTGGGATTCGAAACATGAGCAAGCCTCACAGACAGATGCACGCCACCAAGAAAATCAACACAACAGGTAGAATTAAATCGATATATTTATTTTATCCAAATCAGAATCTTCGAGTCAATTTAACTTCATATATGTACGTAAACAACGTCTTATCCTCAAAATATTGAAGATTTTGCGACGTGCATAAATAAAATATTTAGAAACCTACCGAGGGAGTCTGATTGTCCTGCATCTGAAAGATCATATCTATAAAGAAAAAAAACATTATAACAAATAATACGAAGCTCTGGCATAATTTACAAATTTGTTTATCAATCAGCAACCAATCATCAATTCTGTAAAAATATGTAAAGCTGACCTTCAAATTTCAAGGGTTGTCCCCCTTGTTATTTTAAAATCCAATGTTATGTTTTAGTCTATGTCTCGAGGATGAGTTTGAGGTGTAGGAATTTACTGATGGCCACATCCACAGAAAGTCGACGTGGCCAGCGTTATTCTGACCAATGTGTCATGGAACGAGACTCATTGGGAGGTCCAAGCATAATGGTTTGGGGTGGAATCGGCCTGAACCAAAATATTGGTCCAGGGAGAGGAGGCGGCATCACAGCAGTGCGCTACATCGACCAAGCTCTCAGACCCCACGTCATACCACATTTCGCACGTCATCAAACCAACGTTTTTCAGCATGACAACGCCCGTGCCCACACCGCCAGAGTTACTCGGGACTTTCTACAGCAGAACGGTGACAACGTTACGCACTGGCCAGCCCTTAGTACAAACTTAATCCCGATTGAACATCTTTGGGATGAAATTCAGAGGAAACTTAATAATGTCGTACCGAGACCAAACACAGCCGATGGATTGTGCCAGGTTTTTCTGAGAATTAATCACTAATGTGTCAATATACTCTTCACAAAAAATTTGCTTTTATCCATTTAGTAAGTCGTTTTCTAGAAGGAGTTGATTAAAGTGCCTCTTGGAATTGTGATGAATTAATCACTAATGTGTCAATATACTCTTCACAAAAAATTTGCTTTGATCCATTTAGTAAGTCGTTTTCGAGAATGAGTTGATTACAGTGCCTCTCTGATTTTTAAATCGTACTGAAAATGACAGGTTGCATGGCCGAGAGGTTTCGAATGCGGGCAGGGAAAACTTTGTGGATGTCACACCTGAAAGAACTTCCCGTGTCGCCATTGCATACGTACTGAAGGGAAGAGGCGCCTGCACACGGAAGTCATCATTAGCCACTACCCATTCAGAATAGATTTTTTTTCTAATTCCTGGCGGTAACCTTATTATAAAGACGTCACACACAGTTGACACATGCGCACAACCGGTGGTGATTGACTTTCTAGTCGCAAATCGGAAAGGATATTAGGAGAGATTATCCGTACATTTTTGTAACCTGTAATCGCCATATTTTATATTAGAGTGGATGTGATAGTAGGATACTTACGCTGTAAAGAACATATAGTGATCGCTGGGAGGAAGTTTATCTTCGTTTATATATAACCATTCAACAGCTACATCTAATCCTTTGTTATAATCTAATTGATTCGTGTCATAAACTTCGTCATCCATAAATTTGGAGCTGGCCTTATCCTGCAATATCAGAATAACATGTCATATTCAAGCATTGAGCGGATGTTATTCGATCAGGAGTAAACCTGGTGCCATGCTGTTACTACATACGGCTCCAAACCTTTTTTGTCAACCAAAGTTTCGTTCAAGGCACCTCGCATAAATTTTAAAGTAAACGATTCACTACACACGTTCCAGAACCTATAAATTAGGTATAAGTGCCCAATCAATGCTCTTGTTGTGGTGGGGGTCGCATAGCTAACATTTTCGTGTTGCGTGTTCGTATTTGTCACTCCCGCCATTAGCTTCGGCTTCAAAACATCACTGCTGTTATATATATATAAAAAGCTAGTGAAGGGTGTGGTGTATGAAACTGGGTATGTTTAACCTTGCTAGAACACGTGATATCACAAACGTGTGTATAGATTTATAGAAGGCAAGCAACGTCACGGTTATATAGAGACACGCGCATGTGATATGGATCAGAGGCGTGGTGACCCATGATTTTGCACGAGGAACAATATCCCGTCCGGGCCCCCATAAAACAATATTTATATGTATGTGGGGGGTGAGGCTGGGGTGGCAGTCCCTCTCAGTGCCACCTGATAATAGTGGGCTGTGTGGAACGTGCTTGAGTCGATTTGTAGCATATCTGACCCACGGTGTATATATTGATACTGGTTAAGCATTATGATTATAATGTTGAAAACCGCATTGAAACCGTGTGATTTTTTGCCATTTGCGAGGCCGCGCAAATACTCAAAACCATGACGTAAAGCTCGCCATTGCGTCCCTTTCACTTATCTTCTGATATAGATTATTGCTTTAATATCAACTGATTCGTTCTTTCAGCATTTTTATTTCATTAATTTACTTACCTTTAATAAAATTAATCCCGATATAACAATATTTATTACTAATGATGGGTCTTGTTCATAAATACTTTCATATCTAAGTCGTATCTGAAGAAATGAAATGAAATGGGGTTTAACGTCCTACTGTTCTGCTCAGAACCGTGGTCTCGTATCTGGAGAAATCATATTGGATTATTTTCAGTCAGAAACTTAATAAAATGTGAAGCTGGCTCACTAACATGGACGTCCTTGTTTCGATCCCGTGGGGTTTTCCAGTGAGATTTCCCGGTCGATAGTGGCAAGGTACAGTGTCTAGTCGGTCGGGTGGGACGAAAACACGATGTCCCGTGTATACATTGGCATTAACCTAAAATAAACCTCGTAGCACCCTGCATGGCGTATGCCCCATTTCATCATGTTTTGCGAAAAAAAAAAATTAGGAATGGAAGTGTCTATTTTCAGACCGGTTACTTACACCTCCAACCCTAACCCTTGCCCAGAGTTCCTATAGATGAATTTTCCCTATGGAAATGATCTCCGCAACGGGTCTGAAAATAGACAACACCAATAAGAATACCGCATCACAGACCCACCTGCTCAACGTCTGAAACTACTAAGAGTTATTGCCCTTAGACATTTCTTAACGAAATATATTTTGCACCTGCCAATGACACCAGTATATATATCATATATGAATGAATTTCAAGTATTTTGTGGCAAATAAAAATAAACTAAGAGAACCTTTCACACAAAACTCAATTACGGGGCTAATGAAGACGGGCATGCGCCATACAGTGTGCTATGAGGGGCATAGGCGCAGATCCCGGTGGGGACACAACTGTCCCCACAACTGGACAGCGGCGCTACGGCTTACTTTTATATCGAATTCCAACTATCAAAGGGTGCATGTCAATGTGTACACGAGACCTCGGTTTTTTGTCCCATCCGAATGACTAGACAACTGTCCTTGTCAGGCCCTCCGCTCTGCACCACTGACACGGGGAAACCACGAAGGAAAACCCCGATTAACTTTCTCGGCTAACACCGGGATCGATTTATTTCTGTGTTAAAAATAAAATAGCTAAATAGTTTGTATTTAGTATAGTAGATTACGACTATTGGGAGCGATATCTGGCTATTACATTTGTATTAAACACTTCTACCAAACCGTGTGTATATTTACACAATAAGTGATAGATTAGGATTATCGTATTGAAATCGTAGCTAAACTCAACCCTTTGAATGGCTACAAACCGGAAGTACCAACGCCGATTGTTATATGTTTAGTCTCGGTCACCTTGATCGGCCAGTAACACGAGAATAATAGCTTCACATCCACTAAAAAATGAAATGAAATGGGGTTTAACATCTTACTGTTCTGCTCCTAAACTGGGCTAATGAAGACGGGCATACGCCATACAGTGTGCTATGAGGGAAATTTTGCCCGGGCAGCGGCGCTACGGCCTACTCTTATATCGAATTCCAACTGCCAAGGGATCTTTTACGTGCACGCCAATGTGTACACGGTACCTCGGTTTTTCGTCCCACCCGAACGACTAGACAGCTGTCCTTGTCAAACCCTCCGTCTTGCATCACTGACAAGGGGAAACCACGCCGGAAAATCTGGATGAACTCTCTCGGCCAATGCAGGGACATCCACTAAAGGTAGCCTTTTAAGAGGAAGGTAAAGATGAGAACTGAATGTAATATTTACCTGTTCTGTTACAAACGAATAATAAATATTAATATCTAAAGTTGTATTATCAACATCGTTATTATTAAATGATAAAAATCTGAAAAATAAGACGATACATAATATTTTAAAAAATCTCTAAAATATAATTCTGACATTAATTTTAAACTGGCAAGTTTATTAAAATGCTGGGAATACGGGTCGCATTCTGCACACAGAAATCCATCTACTTCATACTTCGAAAAAAGATCACTGCCCTAAATGGCCGCCATATCTAAAAATTAGTATACTTTTTTGTAATTAGGTTCTAATCAGTTTCACATCTGTCATACACGCAAAGACTAAATAAACTTTTTCAATTGAATTAAATGGAAGCAGAATAAATCTTTAACAAAGTTCTCGAATTTACTTTGTGTTTTCGACTAAAATCTTCGATTTAGGACTTAAAATAATGCCGGTTAACTAGCTTAGTGTCTGTTCTCAAGCGGAGCTAACTGTAGACAGACAGCCTAAGTTTAGTATGTACGGGTCGTAGTTATTTGTAGCTACCTAACAGACAACATAATATTTGGCATACGTAGTGAAATTAAATATATTGAATTCTATTGAATTTGGGTACAATAAGTGAAAGATTAATGTTTACATTTAATTTTACCTTGATATTTGGGATCTATTGATTCCGCAAAGTGGCGATTTATGGAAAATGGAATAAAGTCTGCTCTATTGTTTCTTCCACGTGAAAACAAAAACCGCAATTTGGTGATGTTTATTGTTTTGATTTAGACAGAAAGTTATTACAGGGGAATACGTTAGGAAGTAATTTAAACTGTAGAGGAAGGATGTTTTCACGTCCATTCACTATCACACCCAATCTTTATCACATTTCTACTACCTGTCACATCATCACATCATGTCCCTATCATATCGTATTTCAACTACTGCTTATCCTCTGTCACATCATACCCCTATCACACCCTACCTCAACACATTATCATGTCCCTGTCATATCTTATCTCAACCACTGCTTATCCCCTATCACACCCTACCGCAATACCTTCTCCCGACCATCCCATCATATCGTATCTCTACCACTGCTTATCCCCAGACACATCATTATCCTATCACGGTCTATCCCCTATCACCTCCTAACCCAACACCTTCTCCCCACTGTCACACCATAAATCACATCCCCTATCGCATCACAACCCTATTATATCCTATCCCATCGTTTATATGGCTGGTGCACTAATGTCATTTATGTAATGGTATGGTTCTGATCTCTGCCTGTATGCAAAAATATTCATCTATCTGATTTTATCCTTGTCCACTATCATACCTTCATCGATACCAATATCATACCCTACCCTCTTCCACACCTATCAATATCATATCCTTGTCCACTATCATACCTTCATCGTTACCAATATTATACCCTACCCCTGTCACACCTACCAATATCATATCTCCTTCCCCATCCTACTATACCACTCAATCATTTCATGTCCTTTTTTCTGATCCCAGAAGTGGAACACCAACATATTCCGTATTATTTAGAGACAGGAACGGCAGTTGACACACACTATTAAGATGTATGAAATAGTTTATACGTACTTTTGATAATCTTGATGATCTGCTATATAACATAACTCTACTGTATAAATATGTTCTTCTAATGATCGTTTAGGACGTGAATTATTAGAATCAACTTTAGATACCTTGTGTTTTATTATTCTTCTGAAATCTAAAGATAACAGTACAATTATCAGAATGTGTCTATTTCCTAAACGGGAAATCGTGTGTGAATGTGTGGGTTGGGGTGTGGGGGTGGCTAACAGATGTCAGACAGTAGGGTCTTGTAGTAAAAAGAGCACTGTAAACTGTAACCATACAAATAAATTGTACTTGAAACTGAATTTATAGAATTGTTTTTGTTTGTGTTTACTTCACATACAACAGAAGGTAACATAGAACGCCCGAAGTCCACCAAATACGGGGGATCACGTGGCTAAGTGGGTAAGACGCTGGCTCGCTAGCCTGGAGGTCGGGTGTTCGATCCCTGCATTGGCCGAGAAAGTTCATCCAGCTTTTCCGGCGTGGTTTCCCCTTGTCAGTGATGCAGGACGGAGGGCCTGACAAAGACAGCTGTCTAGTCGTTCGGATGGGACGAAAAACCGAGGTTCCGTGTACACATTGGTGTGCACGTAAAAGACCCCTTAGCAGTTGGAATTCACCGACTATCACCGACATAAATAACAGTCAGACCGCGTTAATTATTGAAATCCATCCCATTATTAATTTATCAATCAATTTTTCATGTCTTTATGTCTAGGACCATGCGACATCTCACACGAGTTACATCATCGCTAGATGTCACTGTACTAAGGGATCAAATTCCCATATGTGTCGTTGCCAGAACTTATCTATACAAATGGTAGGGTGACCCACCATAAATAAATATCTCCATATATCTCGACAATTTCGCCACAATATTTATATATATGCCAAGCCTCAAATCAGTTTCACACAATTATAGTCACTAAATAAACGATCATGTTGTACTTAATAAGCTATGACCATTAATCATCTATAAATAATAGACTGAAAACTGGTTCCATGTGTCGTCCATAACATCCAGACACTTTTGAGTAAAAGATAGGTTACGTGCCCTTGTTTTGAAATTAGTCTCGCTTAACCAGTCTATCGACCATTCTAGGGCTGATTGACAGGTCGGGATAATCAAGACTACTTTTTTACGAAACATAACAGAAAGCTAGAACAAGAAATTGAATTTAGAAATGAGCACGTTAGCTAGCTCAACAATTGTTTTAAGAAGCTTGTAAAAGTAAAATGAAACTACTGCTAGTATCATGTTCCTGTCTAACCCGAGTGTTTCTGAGATATTATTTGTACTAAACCAAAAGATGCCGCTCTTAACGGTACAGTTAATGATAAAGCGATTTAAAAAATGAAACGAACGTAATTTCTAAATCTGCTGTAATAACCAAGAAGCTTAATTTCACTGCTATTCAAAATCGTCAACAATAATTTTTTTACGGCTGTAATAGTTGATAGATTTGTAGAGAATTGCACGTGCCATGGCTATTTATAGTATCAAACTGTCAGAAAGTTGGCCTCGACACGGCGAATGTGCACGCTTCAGTGGTAGTCTCGAACTATCAGCGGTGGACTGTATTTCTGTAGGTGCGTGGGCCACCCTACAAATGGCAATGCAGGGGATTTTGAAATAGATATTTGTTGTTAGTGTAACTCCTGTCATTCTATATGGACACAGCTCACCAAATATTTCTACGCCGTAAACAAGGGCCAAAGTTATTTTTAGACTCTCTCTCCCTTTCCCTTTTTCCCCCTTTTGCATGGCGATTTTTGTTGACTTTTTGGTGTAGAATCGAAAAAAAGGGTTTGAAAATACATTTTCAGCCAGGTTTTGGTGAATATTCATGATTTTGAGGCGGAAGGATACAAGAGTTGTGAGGTTGGTTACGTTGAAATGTAGGGCCGGAAATTGCATGTTTACTTGTCTCTACTTCCAACTTGTGTATCTCAAGTTTTTCATGGTGAACCTCATACATGCTTTTGGGCAAGAGTTTGCCACATGTTGCTCCATCTGTGGCAGAAAGCGTTCTACCCAACGAAAATTTGGGAAAAAGTTAGAGCCGGTCTAAGAGACGAGAATTAACATTAAAGTCAATGGGGAAACAATTAGTGATCTGTGGCCATATGGCTCCGTTTACACTTGGATTTGTATCTGTAGGTACCAATAAACATGACGTACGGGAAATCAGATACGGCGGAAAATTCGTTTCTTGTAAAAATTAGGATTTTGATTCAAACATTTGGGTAGAAAATGAATGCGACACAATAATTTCTCAATTAACGTCTCTTGTGAACTATCATGATCTTATAACGGATGGCAGTGTATGTTCGCGTGCGCCACCAAGTCAGACTAATCAAGCTGGACTGCTTTCACAAATTCTAATCATGTCAGCGTGAAGAAATACTTTGATCCGAACCTCCTTGGTTCTGGTAATCAGCTTCGTGTAGTTTAGGAGTTTTTTTAGACCTACCTTTAAAGTAATCTGTTACAGGTATTTCTTCTTCCTTTTCTTGAAGAACATGAAAAACATCCATGCCATCCTCATTCTCTAAACTATTGTATGGTGATAACTGATGGATTTTATCGTCTATTTCTATTTCACCTTCCTTTAATTATAACATATAGTGGTAATATTGTAATAGGAAACTATACAAAGTATAAACTATCGCCCAGTACAGTCAGACATTAAGGGCTAATGTCGATTATATTTTGGAGAATAAAACTGCTTAATATTGTGTTAAAAACCCTTAAAAACCTCTACCTTATAGGGCCGAGCAACTAACTCAATATACGTGATACGTTTTCAAAAAATCTGAATCAGTCAGTCTTCGTCTGCAAATGGAGATCAGTGTACCAAGCTGTATTCTAAAAATAACGTGTAGTTGAAATTTACCTTTCGTTATCAAGTACAGCACGTGGGTCTTGCACTGTATAGACCGCTAAAGTAATGGCAATATAACATTGACTCGAAATCTTAAAAGGGTTATGTGTCCAGATTATAAGCAGGCTTGACGTTTACATGCAAACAACTCAATGTTTTGAGCTGAAATTTTGAGACAAGGTAAATACACCATTCCTCTATATTTTGGGGGTTAAATTTCATACGTACACGGACTTTTTTTTCCGAGACTCTGTTAAAATCGGGATAATCCCTCTAAACAAAATAAGTACGCGGTTAGGGCACGCACAGAAGGGTTGGGCCACCGCAATCTTCTTTTTCTAGTTGCAGATTTGCCATGGTGCACTATATGTAAAAATAAAACATAATATATTGTCACACATACTGAGAATAAATTACGGTATTAATTCGTTAATTTATAGAAATTGTCTCGAAGTTTGTGATCAGAAAATCTAGAAAGAGGGCTATTTTAATTTCAGCATGTGTATATTTTTTTTTTTTTTTTTTTTTTTGAGTTGGGTTGACGATCTTAAAGGAGCTAAGCCGCTATTCTTCGGCATCTAGAAATGGACATAAATGGGTCGCAACGCATACAATAATGTGCGTTCAATGTATATAAACTGATTTACATTCCAACGTTTCTGTTTTTACTGTAACGTCTCATCAGTTATGTCAATCTTTGTCGTCTGGTTGTTCCAGTCTATTCTCCTGCGGGGTATGTTTAGCCTCTTTCATCGAGTCGCTTCATTACAAATGGCCCTTGAAAGCATTCTGACACGCGATTCGTGTGCTAATTTTTGTGTGCTGAATATTGGTTAGCTGAAGCCAATCTGTTCACGGTAAGATAACAATATCAATGTTGATTTAAATTGAACAATAAGTTGTGTTTGGAATGGGGGGGGGGGAAGGCCTAATCAGTTCTCCGGGGTTGGATGGCCGAATGTTTAGCACGTGCGAGTTGTATCATAAGGTCTGTCACTGAGTCAACTGGCGTGGTTTCGATTCCCCGGTTGTACGTGACAAGGTGTAGGGTCGCCTGTCTACCCCGTGGGTTTTTCTCCGCGTCCTCCGGTTTCCTCCCACTGCTAAAGACCCCCACGCGCAAGTGAATTATTGAAATAAAATTGAACCATATGTTAGTCTCGAAATGTCCTAGTTTGTGTCGAGTGAACGTTTAACTCCATTTCTCTCTCTGAGTTTGCAATGTCGAAGAATGTGGATGCTACTGAATTAGAAACTGGGCTCCTTTAATAGAGCCCCGGTTTTGTGCAGGGATAATGTACAAGAATCTGTTAACAGATGGTCGCTTGATGTAAACTGATATGCGGCGCTGGATTTAGCTTCTGCACCTAGATATTTTGGCGACGATCAGAAATTCCCGTCAATCCCAAGGGAGTATAAGATGCCCTATTAAAATATTAGCGAAAAAAATGGACAAAATCTTAATGTAGCTGGGAGAAATTTATTACAAATATTACAAAACACAAAAAATACTTACCAAGTGAAACATGTGTAGATGGTCTTGTTGTCGACTGATTTTTATTACTGATTTTCTTAATTCATCCTTATACACAGCAACACACTAAACAATTAATCAAAAAAAACCCACAGAATTTCAATAACAGAGCAAACAAAAATACATATAGCTAAATTGTAAAATAAAATGAAATGGGGTTTAACGTCCTACTGTTCTGCTGCGACTGGGCCAATCAATACAGGCTTACGCCATACAGTGTGCTGTGAGAGAAATTTTGCCCGGATAACAGCGCTACGACCTACTCTTATATCGAATTACAACTGCCAAGGAATCTTTTACGAGCACGTCAATGTGTACACGGAACCTCGGTTTTTCGTCCATCCGAACGACTAGACAGCTACCATTGACAAGTGGAAACCGAGGATCTTTCTCGGCCAACACCGGGATCGAACCAGCGATCTCCAGACTAGCAAGACAGCGTCGCACTCACTTAGCCACCGTGGCTCCCTATAGCTAAATGGAAATGAAATGACACTCGGTTTATCGTCTTACTTTTCCGTACCACCGGGGCTAATGAATACGGAAATAGGCAAAACAGTGCCCTATTTGCGGAAAATTTTGCCAGGACAGAGGAGTTTCTGTCTATTCTTCTCGGTATTCTAACTTCTAAGAGTTCATCTGCGTGCACGCCAGTGTGTGCACCGGGACCTCGATATTTCGTCCCATCCGACAAAGAGCAATAAGACCGGAAACTCAACCAAGCTGGGGTCGAACCCTGGACTGTGGGGTCAGTGAGCCAGCACCGTATTCACATAACCAGCATCACTTCTGTTTTTGGAATGAGATAGGCTACCTTCAATGCATTTTATTTCCCCAATATACGCTAACGGTGACCGTTGACACATTTTATTTACGTAAATTACCAACGATACCCGTTTGCCGTTGACACACGTGGCTACTTACCCGCGAAGCTATGTTCATTTTTTCTAATCCATTTTCCGTGAAGGTGTACATCGGGATAGTTGCAATCCGCTCTAGATTCAAGATGGTGTCACCATTGTCTGTTTCAAGGTGAAAGGCCATTTTGTCTGGCATGGAGGATGTAACGTCCCGCTTTTCTCTTTCATTGGGTGTGAAACTGTGTTCCAAAAACTTTATCTTTACAATTTCTGAAATGTTCACAAATGACATTTATCAGTCCTTGGTGGTTTTAATCAAGCCCCGTTTTTTGTTCAAATATTTAGCTTCGTAGCCAGTCAAAAACTTTATTACGGATTCAGCTATAAATTAAAAAAACCTACTTTCACAAGTTGTAATAAACATTTGAAAAACTCCTCGGCACAGGATATCTACAGGAAAGGCAAAAAACCCAAAACAAATAGATTTAATGATGATTACAGAAAAATAGTTTTATTGACACACATTTGTTTATCGTTCGTTCTTGGTGTTTAACGTCTGCTTCCACATAAGTGATATCGCAGACAAGACATAGGAGAGCCGAAGCTGATTCCTGTTTTTTAGAATATGATTTTGCAATCTTTCCATTTGGCCTTAGGCCATGGATTTGGTTTAGTGGGAAGTTCTTCCCTTTATTTAATATAAAACATATCGTTTGGTAGATGATCTCGTCTGCTTCTGGATTGGTAGATGTCATCGTTTTAGTGTTTAGGTGCCAGGCCCGTCTTATCGTGGCCTCCCCTTACTCCACTATCCCACTCTCTGGGTTTGGTATCAGTTTTATTTGCGGAATAGTGTTTAGGTGCCGAGTTCGTCTGACCGTAACTCCCCCTTACTCCACTATCCTGCTAGTTTGGTAGATGTCATCTTTGTGGGGTTTGTGTTTAGGTGCCAGGCCCGTCTTATCGTGACCTCCCCTTACTCCACTATCCCACTCTGTAGGTTTGGTGTCTGTTTTTGGTGGAATAGTGTTTAGATGCCGAGTCCGTCTGATCGTGACTCCCCCTTACTCCACTATCCTGCCAGTTTGGTATAAATCCCCAATGTAGTTTAGTGTTTAGATGCCGGGCCCGTCTAACCGTGACCCCCTCTTACTTCACTATTCTACTTAGTCCAACTGTGTCCATTAGGGCGTGGATTTGTTCGAGGATTTGCAGTTTCAGATCTGGTCTCGGGAAGAGTAGGTTCTTAGTGTTGAATGGTATGTTGTTGGTCTCCATTGTTCTCACTAGTTCCCTTCTCTCCTCCTCGTATACCTCGCAGTCTACCAGAACATGGTTGGTGGTACATTCTTCTCCGCACTCACAGATGATGACTTGGTGTTTGTAGTCTCGCAGCCGCTCTTTCACCCTTAGCTTCCATATAAGTCTACAAATATCTCTTCTAGGGTGATTGAGTGTTGTCTTTGTGTAGATCTTGTCATCCAGCCGGAATCTGTATGTGTCAAGTTCAACGAGATTTAATTCCCAGATTGAATTGACCTGTCTTTTGACCATACTGTAGATTTCCGTGGTGCTGTAGTCTATGGTGCGGAGTGGTGCTGTGTCCTTGAGACCTTCATTAGCGAGTCGATCTGCCTCCTCGTTTCCTCTAATGTTGACATGTGATGGAATCCACACGAGTTCTACTTTGCTTCCCTTCTCTATAACCTTCTGGTACAGCTGCCTGATTTCCAAAATGACTTCTGGTCTTGAGTCCGAGTTGTCATTTTGGATTGAAATCAGACTGCTCAGAGAGTCGCTTGGAATGACGAACTTACTAGTCTTTTGATGGGAAATCCATGATATAGCGCCACGAATGGCCACAAGCTCTGCAGTGTACACCGAGCAGTTATTGAGCAGTTTCCTGCTTATTCCCTGTTTCCCGTTTGGCAGGTATATTCCAAACGAGCTGGTGCCCCTTTCAGGATTGCGTGAGCCATCCGTGTACACATGGTCCCAGTCATCAGACGGCCATTTGTCTTCCAGGTGTTCTAGAGAGAAAGCACGTGCAGCAGTGGGGTTGTTTTTCTTGTCAGTTTTCTGTAGTAGATCTAGATTAACCGGCGGTATAGGGAGCGTCCAAGGGGCGATCGCTGGAGGGTCGTGTTCATTTATCACGAGCTCCCCCAGTTGCAGTTCCTTGATTGTTTCCCTGATACCCTGGCTGAAGCTTTTCTTTCTAGGATCTCTTACATATCTTGTCTTTTGTAGACTGACAAAAGTAGGGGATCTTTCGCCCAGTTGCGAGATCTTGGCCCAATACCTTGTCGCTAGTTCTTTTCTTCTTAGGGATAGGGGCAACTCCCCGGCTTCCTGTAGTAATGCCTCTCTCCTAGTCCCAAGCCCTACGCCGGTCGCAATACACAGAGCTTTGTATTGAATGGTGTCAAGCTTACTTAAGAGTTTTGGCGCACAGTTCACGAAGGCCAAAGAGCCGTAGTCTAATACAGAGCGTTTAGAGAACGATACACCATCATTAATGTAACTCTATTGGCACCCCATGTGCTGCCCGTTATTTTCCTCATTAAGTTTAAGTTTCCTCATTTTGGTGCATCTATCTACAGTCTCGTCGATGTGCGGTTTCCAGGTCAGCCTTCGGTCAAAGATTACGCCAAGGAACTTGGTTTGGTCTTTAAACTCGATGGTTTTCCCGTTCATACACAGAGTCATTCTGTTTATCCCTCTATCCCTGCTTACAAGCATGCCGACTGTTTTCTTCTCCGAGACTTTGAATCCCCAATCGTTTGCCCATGCCATGAATTTGTCTAAGGCCTTCTGCATGTTCTTTTGTAGTTCACAGAAGTTCCTCCCTTTCCTCCATATCGTACTGTCATCAGCAAATTTAGCTAACTCAGTTTTGGCGTCGAGGTAGGAAGATTTCTGTATGTTGTTGATCATGATATTGAAGAGAGTGGGACTGATAACCGACCCCTGAGGCGTGCCATTTTCTAATGTTTGCCCGGCACTCAGGAATCTGCCTACATTCACCTGTATCTGTCTATCCCTCAGAAAGCTTTTGATCCACCGAAACAGTATGCCCGTTATACCAATACGTCCTAACTTGAAGAGCAGCCCGTCTAGCCAGACTAAATCGAAAGCCTTAGTTAAATCTACGAACACGACACATAACAGGTTCCCAGAGAGGAGTGCCTGCGACATGACTTGCTGTAGTCTCACCAAGTGGTCCGTTGTTGAACGCCCTTTCCTGAACCCGCTTTGATTTTCGTCGATCAGTCGGTTGCTCTCCAGATAGAACTGTAGTCGTATGTTAACCATTGTTTCCAAGGTTTTGCACAGTGTGGATGTCAAGCTTATTGGTCGATAGGACTCTGCCTTTGTTCTCTCTTTACCTGGTTTTGGAAGAGGGATGACGTTGGCTTTCCGCCATTCTTTGTTTATGGCTGACGTTTTTATTTGACGACATTGTGTATTACTTTAGACAGGACTTAGACCACTACATTTCTTTTTATATTGATTTTGAAGCCATTAGGTTTAACATTAAATTTTTACAACCCGTTAACAGTGGTTGACTATTTTTTGTATTTTCGAAATGGCAATTCTACCAGACAATATGCTTTTAACACGATGGCTTCCTTTTAGAAGAATAATTGCTACACTTGTAAATGTTGGATTGAGTAAGGTGGTTATTACGTTCAAGTTCACAAAATTGTATCGAGTTTAAAACCAATTATACTAGAATACAGAAGACAAGTTTCTAGGGTTACATTCACGCAAATTACTCTTTTACTTTGTTATTATCATCGAACAAATTGGAATTTCTTTTCTTTATGTGTTTGCTTACAAATGGGTGAATCAACAAATGTCGATATTTATTTTTACTGGTGTGGCCGAAAGGAAAAACTTTTTTCGTCAGATTTCTGAAAGCATCCTGACATAGAAGTATTTATCAATAGTAGTTAATATTTTATCCTCAAAAAGGAAATATATTTTTTCTTAATCTTTAGACTCCATTGCACTATGTGCTGAACAGAAAGTGTTATCATAGCAATCGCAGATTCTCAATATACAAATATTATATTCTGTTTAGTGATGAGAGAGAGATAGAGAGACTAACATGTGGTTCAATATTTTATTTCAATAATTCGCTTGCGCGTAGGTGTCTTTAGCAGTGGGGGGGGGAATCGGCGATCCCGGAGAAAACACACGAGGTTGGACACGCGACCCTACTCCTTGTCACGTACAACGGGGAATCAAAACCACGCCAGTTGACTCAGTGACAGACCTTATGATATAGCGGCACGGGCTGACCATTCGGCCATTCCGCCCACCTGGTTGTTCTAGAAATAAACCAAAGTAATATTAGAGCGTACCCTGTCGTAAGCTAAATACTCCTAAATACTACTTAGAGCGTACCTTGCTGAAACAGAAGAAAACCTTTCTTTGATTTGTGTTGTCAGCACTATATTGTCTAGCTCTAGATGATGATGTATATAAAATACAATATGAAACAACAAACACCTGGATAACGAGAATGATCCACTAAAAGAGAAGATCAATTACTTGAATTGAGATATTTATGTCGTCGCCTGTAGAAGAACAAATTGTGTACTTGTATCAAATAGGTTATCAATCTGTATTTAGAGCGATGAGCCTGTGTCTGGCTGTCCTATTACCTACACTCATACATGACCCTAATACACCATCCTGGTATCTTATTAGTCGCAATCCCCCCTACATTCTCTTGTTATAGCAATGTTAGCCCGAATCTTAAGAGATCTCCTTTTTCTATGTCTGGAATTTTCAGATAAATACGAGAGTCTATCAATCAAGATTCTTGAAGTCAACGGTATATATTGTCAATCGATGAACATATAAGTATATACTTTTATCACGTATATATCAAAATAATCAAGAATGTTGTCTACAAGATTATATATACGTTAATACAGACAAGCTCTATATGTTATAAACACAATTTGCTAATCAGGAAAGTCTGGTGATGATCAGGTGGTCTTTAAATTATTATCAATAAAAACTCGCCTGTAGATTGTCGTTGGCGGCGCATTACGTCTGGTAATGACGTCAGTTTTAGACATACTCCGTTAATTATAAGACATTTTATCAAAAGTTTAAGAGACATTTGTTGTAACAAGATCATCTCTGGCACGTCTGAACGTGACAAATTTCTGACCAGCCATGAATAGAAATGGCTGGGGTATCACCCTAGAACAGCCTAGTTCTACTAATTGGCGTGAATCGCCACTTCAAAT